TTTAAGTGTCTGAATGGCCTGTAAGTAGAAAGCATCATGTCAAGAAAATCTATTCGAAATAGTTTCAGCTTATTCTGACAAGTGTCATTGCAGTTGCTTGTGTGAAAAGTGAGAACAATGAAGGCTATTTTCCATGAAGATAAAGATATCTACTTAAAGTATCTGTTAAAATTTATGTTATATTAATCCAAAAGAGAGAATTTAATACCTGTATAATTAAAGTATTTTTAAGTTCCCTTTAAATATAAAATGTTTATGTGAATGTTTGAAGTGATACAAAATGCATGAAGTCTGCCGACAGTCCCAGATAACCTTTTCTACCCACTTATATCACAACATCATCAATTACTCTAATTAACGCTTCTTATGTCTTGCGTTACCCATGATTCATGTGACATGATAATTACATGAAATAAGAAATTTGTTACTTTATCTTTTAATAGCCTGCGTTTCTGTCTTTGATATATTAAAACCGTGTTTTTACCAGACACATGCACTAAATTGCATAAATGTTTATTTCTGTAGGGTCAGAGGACTCCTAAAATTATAATTCAAATAAAAACACACAAAATACATCTCTGTGTATCTACTTGTAATCTAAAAATCTTATATGGATGTTGTCTCGTCTCTATATCCAAACTTGTACTTGTACTGGTTGTTGTATTTGCCAAAATTACTTGTGTATATCAAGTTTGGAATTAACAGTAATGTAAATTAAGCATTACTTGTTTTGATTATATTTTTTTTCCTTTTGTGATGGGTACAGTTTACATGTTTATAGCTCAGACATCTTCATCTATTCCATTAAGATTGGCATTAGTAATAATGTTGTATTTGGTGTCAGCTACTGGCCTACTACAACCACATTTAATTCCAAGAGGACTGATTACAATTCAGGACCTTAGGTTTGTGATTGTTGAAAAAGATTTATTTGTCTCTGATAATCATCCAAACCATTCAATTTTCACATAAATATTGTAACCTCAAAACCTATACTGTAGTTAGATGTATAACTAAGATAAAGTAAATAAAAGCATGTCAAATATAAAAATCTCTTCTGTTTAATAAGGTGTCAAATATTTAATACTGATAAATAATAAAGATATATAATTGTGGGCTATAATATGCTATAATCTCCTGTATATATGGCCTTAATTGACCTTTAAATCTGACCAGTTGACAAGAAAGATTGTAATCTGATATCAACGACCAAGGATCCCCCACTGCTTCCATTGTTCATGTTAATGTCTATTGAATGGGGTACTAGGATATCTTGCTGAATTTCAGTTCTGTAAACTGAATGACCCTCTCTGTCCCTCTATTAAACCCATATACCCCCTTATATTGTCCACTCTATTAAATTAATAGCAGATGACTTGTCTTTTGTTGTTTGAATGAGAGAGGTTATCAATCGTAAAATCTACAACCAATACACTATGTTTTAATAAACTCAATATACCAGTTTTACAATGTTACTTTAAGTGACTTACACAGATAAAATCAGGCTTATCATCAAATGACTTGTTATTGCCACTTCCAGAATTTAGTTGACCTCCCAGGACAGAGATAGGTTGCCAGGCAATTAAATATGTTCACTTATATTAACAGATAACAAGGATGAATCCACAAAAGAAAAACAGATCCTTATAAGGCCTTACACTTGTTGTCTGCATGTTTATGCGGTCAAAAAATATAGCATAATAGTGAGGCATCTTCTTATAAAAGTGCATTTTTCTCCAACAATACATAAATTTAAAAAAAGAAATAGGCAGAATTGTCTGTTTAAAGGGTTATTCTGATCCTTATTTTTAAATTCAAATACATTTGTTTGAGGATGGTTGTTTATGTAAATAGATTTTAAATGTGTCATCACCCTTGTAACTTGCATTATTATTTTATACATGTATGTATCTACATAAACATGATTTCAGGAACAGAATTATAAAGTGATAATTTAATTATTCGAGATGGATATGGTCTGTAGGAATATAAGAATGTAGATATATACATTTTAAATAATAATACCTCAAATAACTCACATTAAAATACACCTGCTTTTCTATACAAATTATATTTTAAAAAACTCACAATAAAATAGGTATAATATTACTCATACTTGAAAGGTGTGAGTTAGTGCATGACAAGAATCCACCTACTTGTATTATATATATTATTAATGTGTTATATTTTAATATAAAAAAAGTTAATGGAATTTAAATTTATGATACCTGTTTTGATGTAAATATATACATGTTTACTTACCATGATGTAATTTAAATTTGAATTAACCAATGAAGTTGATTTTAGATAATATGCTAGTTATTGGGAGTACCATGCAAAATGTTGTATTTTTTTATTGAAATTAAGTTAAAGTCCTTATTTATTATGTTGAATCTCCTGCCAACTACAGTATTGTGATGTTGAATCTCTAGAAACGCTTTAGATCATAAGGTTTTGTCATTGAGTCAGGTGGTGTGGTTTTGATCCTAAACCTTGTACATGACAAGGAGTAGGGTTGCCTGCCCAACATGGGAGATTTTCTCCAGGTCCGCTGCTTAAGACCCCTATGCGCAAGAGAATTATTGAAATGAATGTGTACCATGTGTTAATCCCAAAATGACCTAGTTTGTGTAGAGTTTGGGTTAGACTGCACTTCTTTCTCTTTATTACTTTGAAAATAACAGATAACTTTGATTTATCAGAATGCTAGATTTTTTGCTTTGAGATTTTATAACTAAAATAGAAACCAGGTATTGTAGTAAAAGAGTAAATATTATTTATACATTATTACAATCATTGATCATTTAACCACAGGATATTTGACTTTATTAGAAAAATATTATTTTTTATTATCAACAACAATAGAGTTTTTTAAGAGAGATTCTATCTACTTGTACCTGTTCTTAACTTGTACAGTTTCCTTTCTTCAAGTTTCATTTGACGGTAATAAAGACCCCCTGGCAAATAGTCGCGACAACATATTTTGTAGCTGGTTGATTGTTATTGAAATTGTTTGATATTTCAATTCGACATATAATTAAAATCATAAATATGTACATTGGATTCTAAAGATTCTCATGGTTATGAATCGGGATAGAAGCAGTCATCAAACAGTATTTTGTATAAAAAAATGAATGCATTGCTCTTATTTCTATACCAAAATTAATTTCTGAAAATGACCTATAGTTATTTCATGCCATATGGTTGCATGTTGAAGCTCTCTCGAGTGTAAAATTCATTACACACCTGACAAGATGTGACTGTAAAGGACGCTGTCCAATTATTGAAACCGAACACCTGGTAGCTCAAGGTTATGATTTGCACCTCCCTTCTTCAAGATCCTTCTCTCATAACCTATAATTTCTGTCACACCAAGGATAAAAAAAATGGTTGGGTGGTTAAACTAGGGTTGATAAACTCCTTTGTCTCTGATTTAATGGCCTATTTATTGTTAGTAAGGGACAGGTACCTGATTGTGCCCCAGACTTCCAACAGATCTTCTAGACAGTCAACGTACTTCTAACACCAATGTTAACCAGATTTCTATCATTTTTTTTAATGTAGGCAAATATGACTCAACATTTTATGGCAAAAACATGTGTTTTTTACTAAAGCTGCGCAACACCTCAGGGGTTGGCAAGTTATTTTTTTACTCTCAAAACAAAATTTGATATGATCTTTTTAGAATTTGGTGGAAAATTGAAGCAATTAAGTCAAGATTTAACTGTGACTTAAAAATAACCAAGTAGAGTAATTTTGGCTAATTGGTTAGAAGATGACTCACTTCATAAATAGCTTTTAGCAAAATAAAACAACTTATTTTTCAGTTTTGATTAAATCTGACAATCCTTTCTGTAAGCAGTAGTTAGCACAGGGTCCTTAACTTCCCCCCTCTAATTACCTTCTCTTTTAGAATTTCAGTACAATTGTTAACATGACAATAATATTTTATAATAGTCTTTGTCCTGGGGAATTTTAACATGCTATATAACTTTTAATACTCAATGGGCATAATAGGTTTAGAAATGTACATTAGGTAGACATGTACAAGAATTTCAGGGATGTGATCACATTGAACAAGTGTTTATTGGTTATATGAAAATTAATGTAGACATATTTCTTATTCATGTTGCTAAACCATCAGCATCAGTAAGCTTATTCAAGATAGCCTATTTCTCTAAAAAGTTTGGATGTAGTGGTCTTTATTTGTGTCAAGTGTCAGCAGGTAAACCACCTGTTCTTCATCTGTATATTATATTTTATTATACCTATATATTTACTATTGTTATATATATATATATTTTATTATACCTATATATTTACTATTGTTATATATATTGAAGAGATTCACCTGGTTGGGTAGCTATAAAACTCACAATTCATGCTAAAATGTTCTCAAATTTGTTATTTAACTTATCAGTTGTAGATTTCTCCTTGCTTGGATTCAGTAAAATTGAAACAGGACCATCAAAAGATTTAAGTGAAGCTTATAGATAGCACTGACTTATTTGAACCATATGTCGTGAAGCCCACAATGAAAAGATAATTAAGACACATTCACTCCACACATTATAAATTCCCCAATTTCAGGTGGAGGACAATATTGTCAGTATAGGTCATGGCTGTCACTTTATCAATGAGTACTTTTGCTTATTGTATCAAAGATGCATTAAGTAAGAGCTAATTATGTCTATTGCAGGTCTTTTTTTAGGCCTCAAATATAAATTATTGATTAGATATTTATTCACATGACAAGCAATAATCAACTCTCTAGATTATCAGATGTTTGTGATTTTGAATGGATTGAAACATGATAGTCATTTAATAATTTAATTTAAATAGTCGTAACTTCGCTCAGAATGAAGAAATTTGTCTGAAATTTTCAATTTATTCCCATTTTGTTATCTATTTTTAAACTATTATAGCGAGGACTGTTAGCTATTTATCTAAATCATAATAAATAGATATTTAATAATGTAATTATGTTGGATATGTTTCAGATATGATGACAAAGTATTGGAAGTGATGGCTCTTTATTCATCTTTCCATATAGCACAGTTACAAGTTGGATTAGCATCACCAATTAAATTAGGACAAGCTAGTGAAATAAAGGTAAAGATACAGAGGGGCCTTAATGAAATTTATATATTTTGTCAGAATGTTCCACAGAACAGTGAGCTGTGGTGCTCATTATCAGCCCTCCAGCACCCATGGGGGGAGGAGGGGGGGAGCTGGCTCACTTGTCCATGGGCCCAGAAGTATGACATATATGGTATGTCATATGTTGTTGTGTTTAATCTCAGTTTCTGTGTTTTAGCAAAGTGACCTCCAGTTACCCCAGATATATGCCAAAAGACTGTATGGTTGCTTGTCCCAGGGTTTGTATCTCCCAAACTATATAGTCTTGAACACTAAATTAGAATGTCCTATACCAGTTTTTGAAGCCTGGTCCTCACTTCTCATGGGGTAGTGCCTCTGGGGCAAAGTGTGGTTTAAGTTATTTCAAATGTATTTAGTAATTGAACAAGAATATACAGGTCACAATTCAATGGAATACAATTACTGCTTATTACTGAGTGACGTTTCGACTAGGTTTCTCTAGTCATTATCAAGCAATGTATAAAGTGTAGTTTGGCTGGGAAGATCAACTGGGGTTCACCCATGTACACATTGGAGTGCATGTAAGATATCCCTCGACAATGTATAAAGTGTAGTTTGGCTGGGAAGATCAACTGGGGTTCACCCATGTACACATTGGAGTGCATGTAAGATATCCCTTGACAGTTAGAATACACTGAATTGTAGGTAGAAATGCAAGAAAAATTCTCTTTCCTAGCAGGGAGCCACTGTGGCTCAGTGGGTAGTACATTGTCTTGCTAATCTGGAGGTCCTGTGTTCAATCCCTGTGTTGTCCGAGAAAGTTCATTGGGATTTTCTGGCATCGGTGGTGTTGGCCTTAGCGCTACTGACCAGACAAAATTTCCTCCATAGCACACTGCATGGTGTATGCCTGTCTTCATTAGCTCCATTGCATTTCATTTTCATTTTTTCCTTGCAAATGTGTAAAATTAACTGAAGTATAGTGTTGATGATGAAAATTAAAATGGGCGCGTCTGTAGGTCTGTCTCTCCGTCATATTTTTTGGGACACAATAACTCTCCTTCTTATTGAGCTAGAATGTTCAAACTTGGTGTAGGTATTTATTTGGTCAATGCCTTGATGGAATTCAAAGATGAGCATTTCCTGCTTAGAGTAAACAGAGATAAGCGATTTGATTGGTTGATGTTTTGGGACACGATAACTTTAGTTCTAATTAAGTGAGAGTGATGAAACATCAATACCTTGACTAAGTTCGATAATGAGCATTTTCTGCTCAGGGTAAGCAGAGCGTTAAGCAATTTGATTGGCCGAGACTTTGGAACTCAATAATTCGCCTTCTAATTAAGCTAGAATGTTCAAACTTGGTGTAGGTATTTATTAGGTCAATGCCTTGATGGAGTTCAAAGATGAGCATTTTCTGCTTAGGGTAAGCAGAGATAAGCAATTTGATTGGTTGATGCTTTGGGACACAATAACTTTAGTTCTAATTAAGTGAGAGTTATGAAACTTGGTGTATAGTTTTATCACATCAATACCTTGACATAGTTCTATAATGAGCATTTTCTGCTCAGGGTAAGCAGAGCGATAAGCATATTGATTGGTCGAGACTTTGGAAGACAATAACTCTCATTCTAATTGACCTAGAATGTTTACACTTGGTGTAGATGTTTATTAGGTGACTGCCTTGATGGAGTTCGAAGATGAGAATTTTCTGCTTAGGGTAAGCAGAGAGATAAGCAATTTGATTGGTTGAGACTATTGAGGTAAAATGTTCATTAGGTGAATGCCTTGATGAAGTTCGATGATGAACATTGTCTGCTTATGGTGAGATAAGGAATCTGATTGGTTGATACTTTGGGGCACGATGACTTTGGGTATTATTAAGTGAGAGTGACGGAACTCTTGAGTATAGATTCATTATATCATTACCTTGACTAAGTTTGATGATGATAATTTTATTCCTAGGCTTAAGAGCGATAAGCAATTTGATTGGTCAAGACTTTGGAACATAATAACTCTGCTCTTTATTGAGGTAGAACGTTTAAACTTGATGTAGATGTTCATTAGGTGAATGTCTTGACTGAGTTCAATGATTAACATTTCGATGCTTTGGGACAAGATATCTATCTATCTGATAGAGAATGATGAAACGTAGTGTATAGTTTGATTACTCATACTTTTGAAAAAAAAAAATTAATTAATTAATATGTGTCATATATTCTGGGATTTCGGCGGGGGACATCAGCCTCACTGTTGGCTTGTTTACCATTTAGCTTTAGTAATTTTTTTAATTTCTCTTTCTACAGATTCGATTGAGTGGAGGAAATGCCCCAATGCAAGTTGATGGAGAACCATGGATACAACATCCAGCAGAAATCATCATATCACATCATGGACAAGCATCTATGTTGGCTAAAATGGATTAGTAACATATTGTTTTAATTCTGTTTAAATTGAATGATGCATTATGTAAAATTTAGATAAAGAGCTGGACGTTCTTGCTGTAATAGTTCAAAAATATATAATTCCAAATGAATATATTGAAAATCTTATTCAATTTACTTTATTCTGAGCAAAGTTGTCAATGTTTGCAGTTTTGACCAGATGTGTGCATTGATTGTTTGTTATTGTAACCATGGAGCTCGTTATTCATGGCTTAGTCTTGCTTATCCATTTTTATATGCCTACATTGAAATATAATGTGGTCGTATATTGTTGTTGCTCTCATCCGTCAGTCTGTCCTCTAGAGGATAAATTTAATATACGATCGATCGACTTTAAATTTATACACAGTGTTTAAGGTAAGGTAGAGGAAGCCTTTTGATTTTCAGTGATTTCCAATAATTACTGCCACTTTGAAAAATCTTGTGGACGTTCTAGAGGCTAAAGTTAATATCCAGTTGACTTTAAGTTTATACACAGTGTTAACGGTCATGACACGAAGAATCCTATTGATTTGCAGCGATTTCCGATAATTACTGCCAGAGCTATGGCCCTTGACCACTTTGAAAAATCTTGTGGAGGCTAAAGTTTATATCCGATTGACTATTAATTTAATACACAGTGTTTAAGGTCATGAGATTAAGAATCCTATTGATTTTTAGCAATTTCCATTAGTTACTGCCAGTGTTATGGCCCTTGATCTCTTTGAAATATCTTGTTGACGCTCTAGAGGCTAAAGTTAATATAAATTGTTTAAGGTCATGAGACAAACAATCTAAACAAATTCATAATCAGATTTTCATGTATTATAAATGTTCTCATTACTGACAAAAAAAAATATGCGACACAACTTGTTGACAGCCCGGACGACTTAGCTGCTGTGGGCGTATGTTTCTTTGCCTGGCAACCTATCTTTAAATTAAGCCATTAAATGGTCAAAGTGTTCTAATCTACTGAAAATTGGAGCCATCCGATGGCACTGAGAGTTAATTATGGTCTTGTCATGTAAATAAATGTCTAATTAATAATTTATATAATATTTAAGGCCTAAAGAGAGACTTGCAATAGGCAGATTTAATTCTTGAATAATGCCTCTTTAAATATATATTTAAATATATACATATATATGAATATTTTTTTTCATACATTTCATCACACTGGAAACAAAACAAAGTAGGTTTCCATCTCTACCCATTCTTCAAATAATTGACCAGGGTTCATGTGAAATCCACACTACAGTATAATAAATTTGTAACTTTGAGAAATATGATGAGATATGCATAAAATAAATTTTGTATGCTGCTTAATTAATTGGAAGAATCTGAGAAAAGCTTTAAGAAAAAAATGATTATGTATTTAAAATGTGTCATAGTTTTGTGTATGGACCTTCGCCACCACAAGATAATAGATGTTTTGATATAAAAATGTGCAGTTGTGTTTTATTTGTAACATACTTTCCCTTACTATGAAAGTTCTCATGGGTTATTGAAGATGCATTTTTTCCCACACTTACAAATATTTTGTGTAGATTATGATAAAGATAACCCATTACATGGTTACCCGTACATGAATGTTTTGCTTTATTCATAATATAATTAAATTTTATCAAAAACAAATTTCCTCAGAGAATTTAAGTTGTTTTCAATATATTATTAGTTTAAATTTTAGTAAAAATTAGAACCTTTGTATTGTATTGTTCATAACTTATTTGCATGCCTGAAAGTGAAAGTGCTTATATACAGTTATTTATCAACCATCCTTTATATTTATATTTATTATATACCGGGATGCAGAAATGTGGTTTTGTCAACCACCCTAAGTATTTGTGATGCCAGTATGTAGAACTGTCTCTTTGTCAGCCATAATATACAAGCATGTAGAAATATCTTCTTTTAACCATCCTTAGTATTTATAACATATATGTAGAAATGTCGTTTAGTTAACAATCCTTTATATTTATAATGTATATAAAAGTATTTTTCCAGCAATCCTTATTACTGGTTGTATTAATAATATACAAATGTCAACCATTTTATTATTTATAATATACCAAAGTCAATTTGTTGTGTTAACAGTCTTAGTATTTATAAATAATGTTACCCATCTTTAGTACTTAAAATAGACCAATATGTAGAAAAGTCATTTTGTCATCAAACCTAAGTATTTATATACCAATATATACAAATGTCAACCATTCTTAGTATTTATTTGGTAAACTATCCTTAGTATTTATAATATACAAATATGTAGACCAAACCATGCTTAGTAGTTATAATAGACCGATATATGTAGAAATGTCAACCATCTTTTGTATTTATAATATACCAAGTCATTTTGTGAACTATCCTTAGTATTTATGATAGACCGATATGTAGGTAAGTTATATTGTCAACTATCTTTAGTATTTATAATAGACCCATATGTAGATAAACCATTTTTTCAACTATTCTTATTATTTATAAAAGACCAATATATAGAAATATCGTTTTGTCAACCATACTTTTAAGCCAGTATGTAGGAATGTTGTCCACCATCTTTTTATAAATTTATTTATTTTTATTTTTTTTATTTTATTTGCTTATGTATTGTTGAGCTCTGACTAAATGTTAAGTTTAAAATTTTATAAACCTTTTATAGAATTTTTATCAAATATTATTCATACATTATATAAGTCTAAAATGTACGAAGACTAATCTTGAATATATGAGGAATAATCTTAAAAGAGTAAATGAAGATAATATAAAAGCTTCTTTGTGATTATTCTTTTTGTTGTCTTGTATTCGTTCAGAAGACTTATTAAAGTTATATATGCATGTAAATTTTTATTGTGCATGCATAAAGAATCGTCAATTTTAAGTGATGTAATTATTTTATTTGTATTGTAGCTATTGTGTGTTGTAAAAATAATTGTAGCATAAATAGTCATATTTGTAATTTATATTTTAACAGTGATGTATTACTAGAAGACTTTACAATTGTATTGATAAAGGCTAATGTCATATTATGGGGTAAAACTGAATAACATAATTCTCTTGTAACTAATATAAATCAAGAAATGAATGCTAACATGTTATTAGTGGTTAAAGAGGTACTAGTGCTTTGGAGGTCTTGGCCAGTTGTTAAAAAAAATATCTTTCAAGTTGACATGATATATTCATTTATAATATGTCAGTTTATTAGTAAAATTTATTTTAGTGGATTTAAGGAGTTAATGCTCCAGCCAGATATCTTACTCTTAGTGAGGCTGAGGCCAGTGTTTGGATTTACAGTAGTGAATCAGGGGAGTCGAAAAGGTTGCTTTGAATATTATATTTATAATTAATTACATGAATTTTCTTGGTAAGAGTGATAATGCCTCTTTAATTACAGAATGGGTAATAAAATGTAAAACACCTGTAAAGAATTCCCATCCCACATAATGTAAATCCATTTTTGCTCATTTTCAGCATTATTTTGCTAATAAATTTAAATTGTACTTAACTTTTACGTGTACTGAATATGTATTTATTTAACTTAGTCATATCTCTTGATTATGCATTATGGTATGTGTGTTCATCTTTTTTGTTTTTTTAAATTGAATTTTACAATATTATACATTTGGTAAATCCTGATGGTAAATCTGTTGGGTTTTTTTTTTTTTTTTTTTTGTCAAATGCTTAAAAACCACATTCCCAACTATACACATATTTGTATTCATCAGTCAATTAATTTTCTTGAACAATCTCAAGTTAAATCGTAATTAATATTTAAGTTGCATAACTTCAAATGGGTAACCTAATTTTTCAAATCATTTGAAGATTTGCTCTAGCCTTGTTGAAAATTGTTTAACTTAGTTAAGTTAAGAATCATAGCTTCTTAGCATTAACAACATTACCGGTATTTATAATAAATATTAAATGATTATTTTATTCAGTCATTAATCTGTTAATTGCTTTATTAACAACTTAAAGCCACTGATCCTCATTTGCATATTTTTTTTGGGGGAAAAATCTAAACTTTTTAGAGCTTAGATTGATTATTTGACATTTAAGGAGCTATGTGGCTTGCTAACCTGGAGGTCCTGTGTTCGATCCCTGCGTTGGCTGAGAAAGTTCATCAAGATTTTCCGGTATGGTTCCTCCTTGTCAGTGGTGCAGGAACGAGGGTCCGACAAGGGACAATGTTTCAGATGGGAAAAAAAATGAGGTCCCATGTACAAATTTTTGTGCATGCAATATATCTCTTGGCAGTTCAAATTCCATATAAGATTAGGCTGTAGGGCTGCTGTCCGGGCAAAATTTCTCTCATGGCACAATGCATGGCGTATGCCCATCTTCATTACCTATGTCGGAACAGAACAGTAGGACGTTAAACCCTATTTCATTTCATATGTAACATTTAGCTAAGGTAACAAAATTAAGGTATCAGATTAAGATGATCTTCTAGCTTGGATTGGATTTAAAATAAGTCCCTAAGAAGATTACAGATTGCCCTGGCTTATTTTGCCATATCTGTTTATATCTTCTGCAGATAATACTGAATCATATCTTTTTGAATTAAACCATTTGTGGACTGATATTCCTTTCGCAGTATTGGAGTTGGCATGCAAGGGATTAATTATGTCTCATGTGAGGATCAGAGACTTTAATATAATTATTATTATTTTATTGTGTTGTTTAACATGTAATGTTTGTATTATTGCTTCAATATTAAAATTATTGTGGCTTTATAATCGGAAGTAATTTGTTTCTTTGAGGTTTTAAACCCTGGTTACCGCTTGTCATGGATGGTATTTGTGGGACTGAAAAGGAAAATGTTGTCCATTGAATTCTAGTGGTTTGGATTGGGATTGAAATTTTATATCCAATTGGAGGTAATTGGAAAAGCATAGTTTCGTACATCTTATCAAGACTAGATGTTGTAGAAATCGCGGTCGTTCCTTCAGGAACATGAGTTTTGAGATTCTTTTCAACATATGACAGTTTTGTTACAATACAAAAGAACAATAAAATACATTGTTAGCTTAAAATCTTTGATTCTGCTCACACAACATCTGTTTTTGGACCTGGCAAAACTCCTACAGGAGTGAATTCCGTTTGTCCCGATTGAAATTATATCAGTGCAGAACGTTTGTTCCAGACTGACAATCTCGCATCCCTTATGAATCTGTAAAAAGGGATCAGGGATGACACTGCTTATCTGTCAAGATTATGGGCTTAACCAATGCTCTGGTAGCCACAAGATTAAGTACCTGAAATGAAAACTTGTAAGTAACTGAAGATTTTGTTATTCTATTGTTGTCAATGTATTATGTCCTGTAAAGATTAGATAATTTTCACCAACTGGGGGACTTGGTATATCCTACATGGTTAGTATCTAAAGGTAGATAATCCTCACCTGTCCTATTGTAACACCATATATCATAAAGACAATACCAACACTGTGGTCTTATCGTATAGTTAGAGGACAGTAGATGTATTGAAGATAGGATTAGGTTACCAACAGGACATGTTGTATACTGTAACGCTTTGTTATGTCTAATCCTAACTATTGTTATGTCTGTCTATATATAGACTGTCAATCTTTCTACAAGACACTTGACA